GAGAAAAGGGAACCCTAGTGGGAATGAAAATTGGTGCAGCCTCTGTGGAAAACAGTAGGAAGGTTCATCAAAAAATTAAGAATAGATTACTTTATCACCCAGTAATTCCTCTTCTGGATATCTACGTAAAAATTTTGAAAGCACTTATTTGTAAAAAGATACATGTATGTACCCTCATGTTTATTGCAGCATTATTCACAATAACCAAGACATGGAAACAACCTAAGTGTCCTTTAACGGGTGATTGGGTAGAGAAGATGTGGTGCATGTACACTATGGAATATTACTCAGCCACTAAAAGGACGAAATGCTGCCGTTTGGACAACATGGATGGACCCTGAGAGCATCATGCTGAGGGAAATAAGACGGAAAAGAACAAGAATCACCTGATTTCACTCATACGTCGGATAGAAAACTGAAATCAACAAATGAGCAAACAAGACAAACTCACAGACCCAGACGACAGAATGGTGGTGACAAGGGGCGGGGGCGGGGAGGGTGGCGGGTGAAGGGCCAAGTGTATGGCGATGGATGGAGACTGGCCTTTGGGTGGGGAGCACACAATGGACACACAGATGATGTGTTTATATAAATCTTTGCACCTGAACTTGTGCAATGTTATTAACCAAGGTAATCCCAATAAATTTAATTTTAAAAAGACAGTAAGTAAATGCTTATATTCTCAATGGAAAAAATGTTTCACAGAATGCTGATTAATTAAGGAGAGAAAAAATCACCGAGGGCCCATTTAGTCTGGGGAGGTGGGTTGAAACCGCTTTTCTGAAACATGACTATTTGAGCTGAGAGAGGAAGGATGGGTAATTGTGAATTTGGAGAAATTAAAACGGGCAAGCATTTGGGGCTAAGAGAACAGAATAACCAGTTGCAGTTGGGTCACTGAGCTTGGTAACAGAAGGGATGTGAGAGACCAGTGAGATGGAGAACAGATAACTGGGGTCGGGAGGGACAGAGTGGGCGAGGCCCACAGTTCGAGCTCCCTGTACTATTCCTTCAGGTGCCCCTCGTTGTCGTAATTTTACATTCATTTGTGGGTTAGAAGTTTTAACTGTTTTTGCTCACCATTGACATTCCAGGGACCTGTCTGGCGCATAGATACTAAAGGTCTACTAATGTTAGAAGTATAATAAAGTTTGAGAACAAAGTGTCAACTATAACACAAAAGAGAAGTCTTCACGCTCATCATATAATTGGTTTCCACTTGCTAAATGAGGAAACCAATGGCAATTTTTTCATAAAGAACAGCTGTTTTAAAACTGCAGGCAACTGAATATTCTACATTAACTCACTAGAATATTTGTGTTAAATTTATGAACAGACCAAGGCAGTCAACCCCAATTTCAATTACTTGAACATCTAAAGAGATTGGTAAAATGAGGAATAAAAATTCGTCTGATTACTGAACTTAAGAAATAATTACATTATTTGTAGATAATATTGTGCACACTCAGGTGAAACAATAATAACATCAATATAGAAATATAAGTGCTATCAGTGAGTCATATCTACTGCAAAATTGGTAGGAAATATAATAAACTCCAATCACATTAGGAACAACATAGACAATATCTCATGCATAGACAATTTCTAGTGAGTAGTTAATAAATTGTTGAGCACAGAAATCAGGAAGAGCCTACAATTATGGGAAAGAGTAGAAAAGACGTGGAGATTCTCTGGAAAACAATTCTCACTGTAGAGATCCCTAGATTCCAAAAAGAGAGAGCAGGAAACAGAGCAAAGGCTGGAAAAGACACGTTTCAGTGGAGACTAAAGTACCTTCAAAGTACCGGACTTCATTGCTGTAAACTATGTAAGACAGGCCTGTCCCAGTCTAGCTATTCCAGAGGCAAAACTGGTACTCACTTGGCCTCATTTCCTTGTCATTCCACCAGCCCTCACTGGAATACAGTGACCCTCTCTGAAGAATGTCACTGAACCTTTCTGTTCTCCAAGGTCTGTCCCCGGGAAGCCCAACTGAGTTTTTATTTGGCTGGGATCAGAGAATTAAGAAAAGGGACAACAGGAGCATGTGGACAGTTTCCAGGGTCTCAAGGGTTGAATTCTCAGAGCTCCTCATTAAATAGACTGTTCTATTATCTTCTCACTCTCCAAACAACTCAGATCTCATGGGGTGCTAAGATAACAGAATGGAAAAATTTCATCGGATGTGCCTGCACGAGCATGAAAGGGGGCAGATAAATTTATTTCCTCCAAGGAGAAACACTTCTTTCTTTGGTTTGACTTGAAAGTGACAAGGTGTCTCCCAAGGGATGTTTCATTGCCTCAGAAACCAACGTTCTGTGATATACTTTCCTTGAAGAACCTTTGGAGATTTCATGGATCACTTGCTGTCCACAGTGTCATGGAGGCAAAGAGGTCTTTTTATACAAAAAGCAGATTTGTTAAATCATTTGGTTCTGTTAAAAGGACCAAGCAAATGAAGGCTAGAAAATATTCTTGACATTGTTGGTGACATGGGCCCTCTGTTGACATCAAAGAGGGCCCCACTTATTACCTGTAAATAGAGGGGTAGAGACAGAAACCATCCAGGTAGAAGGGTTGCAGAGTGAGTGTTGGGGAAATAGAGGTGACAAATATAAAGCACCTATCAGTTTGTGGGGAAAGGGGAGGAGGGAATGTGAAGCATAGCGTAAAGAGAGTGTGGAACCTGAGAGGGTTTAAGAAAAATGGAAGATACAGGAACAGGTTAGTGTGAAAGAGAATGACCGAACTTAGTGCAGGCCTTTGAGTGCACAGGAGGTTCTGACCCCATAGTTCCCAGGATGCAGCACCCGCTCTAAGTCCTGACAATCATAGTGGGCTGGATGTTCGATGTATAGAATATGTGGGTCCATAAATCAAGGGTTGGAAGTAGAGTGGCCCCTTCTAATGACACTTCCGTGTAGCCACTTGGGAAGCTTGTGCTTCAGATCTCCACAACTCTGGCGTGTGCAAGCCAAGAGGTCTTGACTCCTAAAGAGAGACACTTCCAGACACAAGGCAAAAGTCCCGGTGAACTTCAAGCTGTACTGCTGCCTGGCAATTCAGGTCCTTTATGCCAAGAAGAGGAGTCACCATTCTGGCAGGGGTAGCTGATCCTGGTCACCAGTGTCATTGTGTGACCATTGTGTGGCAGCCTGCTGTTCTCAGTAAGTGGTTGGGAGCAGCTCAGGAGCAACCTGAATGCAGACACAGTGGTGAATGCAAATGTCTTCAGCCAGTGAGACGTTTATATGATTTATGAAGTGATTTTCCCTGATCAGTTTAGTACCAACCTGGCACCATACATAATTATTACAATGTTATTGGCTATTATCCCTATGCTGTTCTTTATATTCCTGTAACTATTTT